GGGCGTTGGTCTAGCTCAAAGGAAGGAAGAATGTATTTTTCTTTCAATGTTTTTTTTTATATTACACGTGTCTAATTTTTTATTGCAAATAATACGTGGCATTTTTTAATTGGTTCATTTTACACGTCATAGGAAAGTGTAACTCACGCTCATGGTCTGTTGCACTCGAGTGTTTACTTGATACATTTAATAGCCACTTGAAGTATCTAAATGGTAAATGGATCAATTGAAGTGTTTGTATGATCGTTGATGACAACTTAAAGGGGCCGTTTATGTATTTCGCCATTAAACGAGGTTAAAGAAAAGAAAACAAGCCTAATGTATGACTACAATCTTGGAATTTTTACCTCCTATAGCAAAGGTTGATACCTTATTTATTTTAAATAAATACCCTTTTAAAAAATTATATTCCATAGCTACCTTTTGATTTTTATAGCCAAATATCTATTTATGGTCACCTCTTACTCTTAAGCCATAAAATACGCTTTGTATTATTTTTCTCTCTCATTCTTTCACATTTTTCTCCACCCTCTCTCTCTCAACGCCAGTCTTTCTCCATGAATACAACCATGATTCTCCAATGATTAATCTCCATTGTCTCGCAAAATTTTCAACAGAAATAACTTCACTTCCAATCCCATCGTCGGGGGAGAAGAGTGATGTTGTAGCTTTTGGTGGGTGAGGCCGCGGATTAGCGAATAGTATCCATTTAGCGGCGTGTTTGGGCAGCGTTTTTGAATGAAATTGGAGTTGGTTGAGAGGTGTTGCAGTGAATTGTAACGAAGCCACCATTGTTGAGACTCTGAAGCAGAAAGCTTTCGAAATGAGGATTTTGGGTGGAAGTCGAATCGGTCCAGTTATTTAGAGAAATTTTATCGCGGCCCTCTCGACGAGACGATATTAGGGTTGTTCTTGAACAAAGACGACGGAGTTCGGGGTTGAGCAACTTGAAGAGTCTGTCACCTTTTTTTTCATTGTATTTCAACGTATCTCGTAGTACTCTATGTATTTCATTATATTCATTGTCTTTTTTTCCCATTGTATTTCAATGTATCACGCTGTATTCCATGTATTTCATTGTATTCACTGTCTCGCTATATTCCATGAATGTATTCATATATTTTTTTTAATTAATATAATTTATGTATTCAGATGTATATATGTATTCAAATACAAATTTTGTGTGTTATAATTGAGTTTGAGTTATATTAGGAGTCTATTATGTTAATTGATTCACTTTCCGTTTGAAAACAGCTGAATAGACCATGAATTGTGCTATTTACGTTACTGTATTCACAAATACATACAACCGGATACAATAATCTGTCTAGCTGTAATTCCCTGTTTCACGCCGTGAATACAGTCAAATACAGTCGAATACAATAATCTGTCTAGCTGTAATCCCCTGTTTCACGCCGAGAAATGCTACTGTATTCATGAATACAGTAGCTTAAATACATTGAATACACTCTAAAAAACTTAAAAATATAGCTATAGAAAATAATATAGTAAATGGTAGCTACAACTATCTAATAACCACTAAACAATAGTGGTTTGTGAAAATTTCTTTACAATCTTTGGGGCCTAAAGAAAAAGAAATTGGGCCTAAATGTTTAATTGAGGCCTGCTTCATGTAAGAACGAATTGGGCCTAGGCCCAAAACAGAATGAGCATCAGCAAAATATAGCATCTTCTTCAGCTGCACCGATCAACTCTGTGTAGCTTCGTCTTCGCTCAGAGTTATGGCGGCTGAAATCGTAAGAAGAAGTCTTAAAGCTTCAAACTTTTCGTTCCTTAGAACCCTAACCGTATCTCAAACACGTAATTTCAGTAACTTAGCAACTTCAGCACAACCCGAATCAGCAGATGACCCATCTTCTTCCTCCTTCACTTTTCACGGTGGAGATCCAAATTCTACAACAAACGATGATAATATTATCATAAAGGGTCCAAAAAAGACTTCAGCTTTATCATCACAAGATTCAGCATCTGTTTCTATGCCTATGTCATTCATGACTGGATCAATTGTGGGGAAGAGGTTTTACAAGAAAGTAACAACTAGAGCAGCTGATGACGGAATTGGTTGGAGTGTTATGCTTGATTATCGTACCCTTAAAACCCCTTCTAAGCGGCCACTCAAATGCCCAACGTTAGCTCTTGCTAAAGCTATTGCTGCTGAATGGGAATACCAGGTGCCCTATTTCTCTATTCTTCCCGATTTTCTTCACAATATGTCATTTTGGTTTCATTAGATATTTTGAAGAGTTCAAGTTAATACAATGTCAGTGTAAAGAAATTTTTTATCCATCTACCTGTTGGAGCATTTAACCTGTCTTGTTTTCATGATTAAAAATCCTATATTTAAAGGAAGTTTACCTGTAGATAAAATTCACAGTGTATGTAAACTGGAAGTAATTGGGAAATTCTTTTGTAAATTTTTTGTGGGGTTGATTGTTTTATTATTCATGTGTTTTTGTGTGTGTATACATTGATACCATTTATGTTATTTCAAGGGAAATTTGATACATCCATTTACCTTGATGTTTAAGTTATGTGTTTTTGCCACCCTAGTCTTGAAATGTCTGTTAATTGTAGGAAGCAGATGGGATCAGACCCTTTACCATGCCACTGATGCAACTTTCATGTACTGCACTAGAAAGAGTTCCACTAACGCGTCAAAAGATTATTGATCATTTGATGAAGAAATTCCCTCAAGACTTAGTTTTCTGTCGTGCTCCTGGGGATAATGATCTGACATGCGGAGTTCGTGGTATGTTATCTTGCAAGTTGCAAAGTGTAATTTTTCATTTTTTTCNGATTCCGGTCTCGATATTTTGCTTTTCGCTGTTACTAACATATGTCTTTAGTCTTTAGGATCAAACTTAGGTCTGATCCTTTATTTGTCTGGTCAATTTCTGATGATCAAGATTTTGTTTCTATAATGTGGCAAAAAGTAGAGGTCTGATATAATTTTGAAATGTTCGTTGCTTCCCAGCTGTCCTATTTGTATGTTTAGATCTCACCCCACCATTAGTTTTGATCTTTGCCGAGGACATACCATACTGCTGTTAGCTAGCTTACTTCGAGTTTGGAAGGAGGGAGTGTTTCTTTTTCTCTGTGTGAATTTTTCTGATTGTGCTACTAATTGACTAAGAGTGGCATCTAGACAAGGCTCTCTGTCTGTCTATCTTCGTCAAGAAACATCTCGGACTTCATGCATTTTGAGATTAAATGGTCAATAGTTTATTTTTTTTTCCCATCAAGGATTTCACATTTAATATTGCAAAGTATCTTACGAGCATTTTGTGAAAACACAATTCTGCTGCCCCATATTACATTTATTTCAAATTTTGGAGGACATGAGAGAAATAGTTACACAATGCTGATTTTTGTGCTCCGGAAATTTGTTCCTCAGCTCTTACATGTGAACTTCCCACTGTACCTTAGAGATTCCTTTTTCATGATAAGTATCAAGAAGATGCAATGAGTATAATAGTATATAGCATTTAATTTTGCAAAAAATCTAGCTGGCTTCTATCCAACTGTACCTTAGAGATTCACTTAGCAGGATATTGGTTGTCCCGGAAACCATACTACTTGGTAGAAAAGGAACTATCTCAAGGTTTGATTTCAATCAATTGAAGAAAAACTTGTGATGGGGCAATGATGCTAGTGTGTGAGAGTTTTACAAGGAGGGGCTACAGGTTTGCGTGAGGAGAAACTGGTCGGACATGACATAGTTGGACTAGGGTTGTTCTCCAATGCTGTTTTGACTTTAAAAGGTCTGAGTCTATTGTGCAAAGAATGAAGACTTAATAGGATCCAGTGGTCAGAGTTGGGGAAAGGTGCCCAGGAAAGGGCTGTAACAAAGGAGGAGGAGAGGGATTAGGGATTTGGTTTGTGGGGGGCCTGGGGGGGGGGGGGGGGGAGGGGAGAGGAGATTCACCACAATTTTCATATTGGAGGAGGGAATTGATGGTTTTGGGCTGTAACACTGGTCCCAAAACAGAGAACGAAAACAAACATCATTTGAGTGCCACATACTTTTCAATGTTGGTGAAAGGCATGCTGTATTTCAGTGTCGATGGAGCACAGGAACTAACTTCTTGGAGCACAAATATCAGCAACCATGATTGTACCTGTCTATTCTAGTCTCTTCTTATATTTTAATATCCAGTGAAGTCTCTTTTTGAATTCTTTCTGTGACGATCTAAAATAAACTACTGCAGTATTCAGTGGAGCATATTACAAATTCAAGTGATACTAGGATTTTGTAACATTGTTAGGTCCTTCTTAAGGGATAAGCTTAGTGCTCAAAGTTCCATCTATTTGACTTCGGATTCTGAGCATAAATGCTATGCACTCTTGTAGTATGCTTACCAGCAAGCCTACAGTTCTCTGTTGTTTATTCTCGCAATTCATTCGGGTTTCATAATATTATCCATATTAATCTGACGATTTGAAATTCACAGAGCGTCAAGTGGAGAAAATCGATCCTCTTCTTAAGTGGGTAGAGTCAGAATTTGGCTTCAAGCCAACCGTATATACCAGTTTTTTTGGTGGCAAGCAAGATGATGGTCTTGTTAGTGCCATTGAAAGTCTTCTCAAGAAAATGGATGATTGTGAATTAGCAACAATTGATGCAATTGCTTCAGCTGCACATTCGCTAGTCATTGCACTTGGACTTTTCCGTGGTAGATTGGGGATTGAAGAGGCTATTGAGTTGATTAGGCTCGAGGAAGATTTGCAGGTTTGTACTACAGTCAATTTTCCTTCGTTATCCTTTCTAGGACTCGTGTATCCTAAAATACATTAACCACCAGGGCTTTGGTCCATCATTTACCCAGAGTTGTTCCTCAAGTTTAAGTGCTGACTTTTCTTTGGCTTCTTCCAGGTTGACCGTTGGGGTCTCGTTGAAGGCGGCCATGATGTTGATATTGCAGATTTAAAAGTTCAGATTGCTTCAGCTGTGGTGTTTCTTGGACTTACGAGGAGGGTATAAATATGGTACTCAAATTGTGAGTTTTACCTTATCGTGTCTCTTTAGTACATTAGCTCAGTACCAATAGCATTTCCTATAAACTCAATATGTGAGTGAGTTATATCAAACTTGCTGCTTTTACAAGGACTAAAGGTGGCCTGCTGGAAATTACCAGATTTTAATGAATAATGAGCCAACTCTGAAATCAAGTACTCCTCTTTTAACTTGGACTACCCTTCAATTTGAGAAGCAGGATTTAGCTCAGAAAGTCCCAGTCTCTCCC